AATACACTTAATTTAAGAATTTTTTACTTATTTCTAGGTCGTTTTTGCAGTGCTGGTAGCTCAGTGTGCTGTTGTACTATGCAACCCTTCCTGCAGTTAAGTGTTACTGCTACCTGTTGGTCAGCCCCTGTCTCTCATCCACCCCTCTATGTCCCTGTATTGCATTATGTTATTTATGTTATGTAAAGGATAAAAATTTGACTTCCAAAAGCATCTTTTTAAACTTTTCTTCTACTTAAAGATTTCTGAGTACAGATTTTCCGATGTGTTTGGGCTCATACTCTGTTGTATCCATAAATAGCGTAATTTAACCCTGGCGTTGATTGTGTTCACTGATTTATTTTAAGTCCTCACCTCCAGCTATTTACCATCCTCCTCTTTTTCTGTTTTTTCTGCATTTCTGCCCATAAACATGCAGAGTAGTACTTCTAGGTCATTATTTAGTAACACTTCACCTTATAAAGGTGCAGACCATTTGTAAAATGTTCTAATGTCATAGTCTTACCCAGACCTTTATAGCTCTGTGGAAATATGTGCTGTGCAAGCTCACATCCATCATGGACGACACCTTCCACTCTCTGCACTAGACTGTAGAAGATCTGAGCAGCTCCTTCAGTTCACGACTTTTACAGCCTGCTGCAACCAGACTCTGCAATGAGACACTACAATGGAAATAATTCATGCAATGTTTAATGTGCAATTACTATTTAATACCCTGTTTAATAATCCTGCTATAAAGAAAGATACTTCAGCTGTCATATAGAGAGAGAGAGATGTGGATGCACTGTATATACTATATACCTGTATGCACCTTTTTTTCCCTGGCATCTTCTTCTTCTTTTTGACTATTTGAGCTGACATAACGAGTACATTTCTCCACTGTGAGATAAACACAATCAATCGATTAAAAATTAATGTTGGAATCCAACAATTACTTAATACTTGCATAACTTTTTTACCATACCATCTTGATTTAAAAATCACTGTAAAGGAACAATCAACTGACAATAATGTAAACAGTAAGATAGATCAGTAAAAAGAAGAAAAGATCGTCTTAAATGGACATTAAAGTTAAAGAAAACTGCAAAAATACAATGAATTGCTTAAAAGTTAGAACGACAAAAACGGTAAGAAAAAAAAAGAAATATCAATATTTATACTTTTTTATTTTAGCTTCAGTAAAATATTTGGGTAGTTTACCCATCTCCATATAAACATACAAGGCTTGCAAAGTATAAAACATGACTGCAGGTGGCAGCAATGAGCCGTCTGCATATATTTGTCGTCTGCTGAACTCCGCGGGGAAGAAGAAGCAGCGACCGACAGTTCTCGCGATATCTTCTTTCTGACAGACAGGCAGAGAAGCAGACGCGAGAGAACGATCATGGACCCCAACACGACCATTCTGCGAGTGAAAAGAAAAAGGGGGACAGACCCCGCTGATTCTCTGCTGCTAGCATGTAAGCGTATCCGACCCGAGTCTTCCCAGAACGCAGGGGAAACGGTACCGGAGCCCAACGAAGCCGAGGTGGAGAACTCAGTGTTCAAACTCGTGGCGACCGTAGCGACACAGGTGAGAGGCCCGCCGCGGGCGGTTAGCCCGGGAAGAAACGCAGCTGGTGGAGGACATGGCGCGGGCAGTTTAATGACTGCAGAGTCCCCGTTAGTGGACAGAGCAGCTGCAGAGTTATTGTTTGGTTTAGTGGCTGTCAGCCTGGGTGGCTTCATCAGGGGCAGCGGGGGAAACAAAGCCCGCTCTGCTGTTAGCTTAGCCTGCATGCTAAGCTAACAGATGTTAGCTCGTTTTGTTGACGTTCATCATGGATGCTGCGTTAAACTGAGCTATATTCACTAGATTTTATTTCTCCTAATATCAGAGGTGTTTTTTCCAACAGATATTTGCTTAACTCTAAAACAATGTTACTTAATGTTTGTTTTATAATCATGTTTTGAATCATTCATTGGGGGTGTGAGGTTTCTACATCACACATCTTTAGTGCTCTAAAGTATAAAGAAACACAAATAATCAAGACAATGACTGGGTGCCTCAGATTGCAGTTATTTAAAATGCATTTATTTAAAGCTAAATGAGGCGGTATAAACTCAAACATGATTACATGACATGAGTTAGACCAGTTGGCTGTTCAGTGGTTTCACAGAGTGGGTTTTAGTGGTTATGGCTTAGAGCTGTGAATCCTGAGGTTCTGAGTTTGACCCCCCACTCCCACAGACTGCCACTCTGGGTCACTGAGCAAAGACCTTTAACCCCACACTGCTCCCTAAGGGGGTGGGTTAAATGCAAATGTAAATTTCTGCAATGTGAGATCAATAAAATTTAAGTACCAGTTATGAGGAGACCTCTAAGATTTAACAGCCTATAACTGATGTTGCTATGGAAGGTTAAATTAAGTTTTTAGTAACACCAAAGGCTGGTTTATACTCAGAAACCAGATCGTCTACATGTGTGTCGCAGTGAACGCAGATAGACTCTCTGCTGCACCTCTCCAATATGCAGACAGGAGGCCTCTGATTGGTCAGATCTACATCCCCTATACAGTATGCGGATTTCCTGTTTGGTTCCTTATGCTACGTTCACACCGGACGCAGCAGGCGCGACAGAAGCAACGAGTTTACATGCAAAGTCATTGGTTGACGCGCGTCAAGGCGCATCAAAAGTTCCTGCAGCGCATCTGAGCAGCTGAAGCAGCGGGTCGGGAACGTTTAAGCACCTCACGCGCTGCTGCTCGAGATGGAACAATTGAACTTTTGCTGATTGACGCGCCGCGTCAACCAATCAGAGAAGCTGATCTGGGAGCTGGCAGAGAGACAGACACATCGCTGATGACACAGAGCGCTGTGATCACTCCTCTGTATCAGTTTATTAACATCTAAATTAACTTAAAATGCTGAAACCTGCCGACAGAATATGTTCTTTTTTATTATCCTGGTGCCTGCAGTTTAGATTATTTTGATGAACCGCGAGGAGGCGACCCGGCCAGAGGCTGCTGTTGAATGGGATCCTACTGCGCACCGCTGGTGTGTGGGGGTCTGAGCGGCTCCGACAGAAATAATATTGGAAGGCGGGATTGTAATCTGGATGAACTGACTGCACTGATTACGTTTTCAGGTTGATTTTCTCACTTAAAAACATATTAAAACTACTTTATTCCCACTGATCACAGCAAATATAGCTGCAAGGCAAAGAAAAGATAGAGTAGCTCCGCCCAACGCACGTCAGACACACTTTTTCACCGCGCAGCCAGAGCAGCAAAGCTGCTTCAGCCGCGCGTCAGAACTAACTGGTACAAGCAGCAAAAATGAAGCAGCAGACGAGATTGTGCTGCGTCCGGTGTGAACGTAGCATAACCGGCTTGTTTTGTTTGTATGGCCGCCATTGTGGATTGTCACACAGACTTACCCCCACTTCCTCTCCGCCTCGGCCATATCTAGACTCCCAGCTAGTTCCTGATTGGCCATCTGGCGTTGTGGCGTGGAATAACATAGAGCACACCACGCTTCAATGTTGGGCATAAATCAAAAATATCTGCATCAAGCTCACTGCGACACACTGCTGCTGGAGGATAACCAGGCCTTAACTGTGGAGTATATTAAGTCTGTCTCATTTCCTCTCAGTAGAAATAAATCAGAGCCTATTTTAATGGTAATAAAGCTTTTCTGTTTTCCCTCCACCAGGATGCTCCAGTCCAGACTCAGGTCCGACACGCTCTCGCCAGACCCCGCGCAGCCCACGCCTTACGCCCCTCTGCTGCTAGTTCACAGCGGATCATCGGGGACCTGAGAAGCACCAAGTGGAGCACCCGGAGGGAGGAACGCTACAGAATACTGTCGAGCCACCGCGCTGGGCTGTCCAGGCAGCCTGAGCAGGAGCCCCCCCAGACAGATGCCTCAGAGGCTGCAGATGATGGCAGGCTGGAGAAATGTTGGGGTCTTGGAGAAATCCAGGTGGTGGATCTCGTCCATGAGGCGGTGGAGGACCCAGACAAGCCACTGAGGAAGGTGGGATCGGTTTCAATTTGCTGTAGCTATTTTCCAAAGGGTTTGGTTTAAACATTTAAAACTTATATTTAAGGACGTTTTATAGTCAAGTTACGGGGTATATAACATGTCACAAACGATATTAATGGAGTCGTGGACTTGGTCCGAAAACAAGTCAAATAGTTCATCATATCCGGGTTTTATAACCAGCGTAAAACAGGCTGTTACCCAAAGAAATTTAATGTTGTGTTGAAAATATGTCCGACGTGCGACTTTTAATGAGCGTAACGGCCATGTTTGAGAAGTACTGTGAAAACCTGAATCCCGCAGCTTTAAGGTTGTCAGCGGCTCATCGAGGCACGTCAACACGCTGTTGCTAATTTTTCACATCCCTTTAGCAACTTTTTTCCAAAAAGAAACCAGCAACGAATTTTGCGACGTTTTAATGTCTTGACGTGAAAACGGCGATCACCCTGAGTCTGTCTGTCATTGAGCCCCTCCCTCCTCCAAAACGAAGGGTTTGATGCATCTGCTGCAGCGTGTTTCTGCTGGCAGGGAGGAGGAGGAGGAGGTTCTCCTGTTTCTCCGTTAAACATGAGCCACACAAGCACAGAGCTTCCAATGATCCTCTCTGAATTTAGTGGGATGTAAATATAATAATTAGCATATTGTTTAACCTCTTGCACTAAAATAGATCCTCACCGTATTTAATTCATAAACCGCTTCATCTTCTGTGTCCCTCTGTTAAAACCAGGAATTGTTCAATAAAGGTCATCTTTGGTTCTAAACATATTTGGAGTATTTTTAATCATTTTCTTTTTTGCTATTTTTCTTCTATGGCTGAATCAAAGCCTTAACAAATATCCAAATTATGTGATGATGTCACTTGGCGAAGAATTTTAGGTGAAAGAGTTACATCCCCGACAGCAGGACAGGGAGCAAGCTATAGAAAATAGCAGTAATGATCCCCTAAATTTCTAGTTTCTAACGGGCGGTTTTAATGATTAGTTCCTTTGTTGACGTCACATTAATGTTTTACTGTTAGTTCTCTAACTTCCACCAACGATGATGGGTTTTTGCACATTTTAAAATCATTTCAACCAAACAATGAAGGCAGTAAATGACAGTGATTGATTTGCTCACAA